AGACGTGGTCTGGCGTACATCTACCTTGTATTATTGGTAGTCAGTTTGGCTCTATTCAATAGTATAACACTTACCCTTTCTTAATAACTTGAACCCCAACAAAAATTCTACTTTGTCTCCGAGATTTCTGTCTAGAAAGACAGCTAAGTAGACATTGTGGGAGCACCCTTAAACACATGTTGGCTATTTAGACCAAGATTACTATATAGAAAGACTATGAAGTGCACTGAAGTATTTCTTAAAGACTAAGCCACATGTACATATTTACCAGTAATCTAGCGCTCTGTCCACAGGCACAAACATGATTGCAATTCTTTTCTCTTTCTATTTCACGTTCCTGGTATTCAATATTCAGCGCTGTAATTTGATCCAACCGATGTTCCAGATCTGAAATGCGCTTCTTTGCGTCTGCTAGTTTGCCCTTTAGCTTTGATAGTTTTGAATCCTCTTCGTTCCTTCCTGAGCATGAAGACTGCACTTGATAATCCTTATCATCTAAGGGATCAGGAGAATTATCCCTCTGGAATGAATCACATGAAAATATAGTGTAGTTTACATCTCTAGGAATAAAACAAATGTTGATGGAGGAGCATAGTTAACATAATTACGGGTGCAACTGTTAAGCCTTTAGATGACGATGATGAGGAGCCTTTTGATGACAATACTGAGGAGCGCTTGGATGACGATGAGATACTGCTGCCCGCTGAATTGATCCTTCTCCTATGCAACAAAGATCGCATAGCCTTCTCTTTCAGTTTTTGGGCCACGTCATTTTCTGATTCTATAAAAAAATAAGAGAGGGGCAGGTGTTGTTACTACATTCAGCACTAAGCAAATGAAAAACAATAACTTTAAAATCTGTGATTATACAAGAGAAACAAACTTACCTCCAACTACAATAACATGTGCTTTGTAATACCCATAATCCTCTGGACCTCCTCCTTGGCCTGGCTGGAAGAATGGAATATCAGCAAGTTTCTTCATTGCTTTCTGTCTTGTTTCTAAACCCTTCTTGACAGACCAGTACACCCAGTATTCTTCATCAAGACGTTCTTCATTAAAACCCAAAATTTGAGTAATATCTGTGCATGCTCCTTCTTTGTCTTCTTCTCCAACATACTGGACATGGGCATATTTGGACATGATTACCTGTGAACAAGACTAAAAGAAGAGCTTACAGAGCAATTAAGAACACAAACAGAGTTGGCTAGAGTAATTTTTTAACTGTGACCAAACACTAGTTGTTTGAGAGGTTAAGTGCACGATGAAACACCAGTCGTAATTTAAAGAAATTGGCAAATAGCGGTAATATTTTCAGGACTGGGGCAGATTTAAGTAACGTGATTACGCCAAAGCTTGTACACAACACCAAAACTTAGCAGAAACTCGCGACTTCACGGAAATTCGTTTTAGTGGGCCTTATGGCCGTAGGTCCAATGTGGATATGGACTGTAAAAAGATCGCAAATAGCGCAAGTTATAAAAAAGGGAATGGACTCTACAAAGCAATAGGCTATAAGTATACAACTAAAAGACACAGCAATGTCAGTTCACTTGTGTACACGTTCGCCGGCCGCCGCAAAAAGAGAAAGAAATATTTGGTTTCGGTCGGAAATTTGTTGATGTTTGGCTTTGAGTTCTTAGTTCTTGCCCAGGATGGCGGATAGTGATGGTTGTGGGAGTGCTATCCCTGGCCACAACATTTCATCTTATATTTGTGGAGATTGAATTGTTTATTAAAATAGAAAGGGCAGCTGAAAAACACGCTGTTCTGGTTCTGAACTTATTCTAAAATGTAAATACCTGAATGATTTTAAATGTTGAGACTTACATTTATCCACGGCCCAGTAGACGTTACCATCTTGTTTTGCAGCCTCAGCCACTGCACACAGCAGACGATAAACAAGCGCGGGCCGCGGCGGCGTCAACAAAGATCAACTCCATTCGACAGATTTGGTTTATGAATCCAAGAACTATTGTTGAAACTTTGTCTATTCAAGAAGACGGTTTGTATCTTTTTCTAAAATACCATACACATAGTTTGGCGAACTTTTCTTGCCTATGTGGTTGAGAAATCTTTCCTAGAAGAAGTTGTTTGGCCACAATGTCTCAAACTTGGCTGGCATTCTAGAACAAATTCTCAGAGACAACGTGGAATTATTGATATCGTTGTTCAGAAAGAGGAAGTTTAACACTATCTATAAGACCCCAACTAACGACCAAATAATTCAAGATTTTTTTTTTAAATAGTAGTAACAATGTTACACTTAGTTTATGAATCCAAACCGTAACTTGATAATCCTAGCCAATCTAAACTGAATTATTCAGCCTTCAGTTGGGTTCCTATAGATAGTATTACACTTCCTCTTTCTTAATAAATTAGGTTGCTTATTTTTATTGCTTTGCATTTATGGCAGGTGACTTCTGAATAGGGTTAGGACGACCTGCACTTTTGCTGAAATGGCTTCTCGCAAAGGTAAACATTACCAAGAGTACATGGATAAGCTGCTGAGAGGAGAGAAAAATGTCACTATACCATACTCTACATGGAGTGCATGGCTTCGCAAAGGAAAAATAACTGTAGAAAAACTTCATCAACTTGGTATAAAAACAAGTAAGTTTATTGAGCTTATTTATATCTTGCAACTGGACTAATCATGTGTTCATTCAACTTGTGGTGTTGCATTTGCAGATCAGAGGAAACGCAGAACTCCCAGGGTTGATTTGCAACGCGAAGACTCTGGACTTGGATCCGAACAACAAAACCACGAAGTACGAGAGGCAAATGCTGATCAACATCATGCAGTAGATTGTAATGTGTCAGATGCAAGTTCTGACAGCCAAGACGGAAGTGCTCCTTTTCGTGAAAGTGACAGTGATAGTGATAGTGACAACGCCCATTTGGATAGAGAACAAACTGAGCTCTCTGACCGATCACATACTGATTCATCTGACAGCAGTGGTGATAGTGACAGTGAGAACAATGACCCGCTATTGGCTGACACTACCCGGCTCTTGTCTATTTTAAACAATCAAAGAATTGGGCCAACTACTATGAATGAAAAATTGCATCCGAACTTAGATATTACTAAATTTGAAGTTCTTCTGATGATTTTGCATTTAAGTATGAGGCACAGGATGACAGATGTTTTTTTGAACCATCTGTTTGAATTTGCTGAGAAAATTGTTGGTATGCCAAAGTCACTTCATATGTCAAAGCATTTGTTTCACAAGCTATTCCAATGTGGTAGAAGGCCAACACAACACTTCTACTGTCCTAAATGTTCTGATTACCTTGGTGTTGGGGAAGACTTTAACAATAGAGATGTAACTTGTGAAAGGGAAGAGTGTGACTGGTCGAGCACTGCGTCCTCCCTTAACAGTAGAAACTATTTTTTAACTTTGGAGATGCGTCAGCAAATAACTGATGTTCTATCAAGACCTGGCCTTAAATTAGTCTCGAAGCAAAGAACAGAAAACGTTTTGACCGATTTCATGGATGGTCTTGAATATCAGCATATCTTTAGAGATCGTATTTTACCGTCTGAACCAGATGCTTTGACATTAACAATTAACACTGATGGTTCTCCAATCTTCAAAAGTGGGAATAATTCTTTGTGGCCTGTGCATTTTTATATTAATGAACTTGATCCAAGTGAGCGTTTCTGTGCAGAAAATGTACCAAATATTCAGGTGTTTCTGAAACCTATAGTAGAGCAGTTGATAGAATTAGAAACTTCTGGTGTTGTCTGGACAAAGCCCGATGGTTCCACTGTTGAAAGTCCAATTTATGTTTTGTCATGCTGTTGTGATTCTGTAGCTAGACCTAAAGTTCAATGTCATATGCAATTTAATGGGGCATATGCCTGTGCAATCTGTATGCATCCTAATACTACAATACTTGTTGATCAAAAAGTTAAACCAGCAGTTCAAAAAAATAAAAAGAGAGGCACTAAAAGGAAAGCTGACCAAGTTGATGAAGAAGTGGCACCAAAGAAAATTAAAATAATGAGGTACTTGAGAGACAGTTATCCTTTACGGTCAAATCAACAACTGAGAGAGCATATGGAGATGGGGGAAGCAAGTCCACTGGGTCCTATAATGGGATGCACAGGTAAGTCAGTGCTTGCTGAACTAAAGCAGTTCAATGTTGTTTATGGATTTGTAATTTATTACATGCATGCAGTTTTGTTAGGCACAATGAAAAAAATGGCTTTTTTGTGGTTCGATTCAAGTAGTAGTGGTGAGCCTTATTATATTGGTCTGAAAATTGACAGAGTTAATCAGCGCTTGTCAACTATCACTCCAACAAATAGATTCAGAGCTCCTCGACCTATGTCGGATAGAGTTCACTGGAAGGCTAACGAATGGAGAGCGTTTTTACTTTATTTTGGTTTAGTGGTTGTTCACAATATCCTACCAATTCAGTACTACAATCACTTTAAAAAACTAGTGTCAGCTATTTATATATTGTGTAAAGAATCAATTTTAAATGATGAGGTTGTACATGCTCATAATCTCCTCAGCCAATTTGTTCATGAGTTCCAAGATCTTTATGGAGAAGTAAATATGGTATATAATGTTCACATAACAGGCCATCTGGCACGGCTTGTTGCTAGAATGGGTCCACTTTCGGCTTACTCTGCTTTCCCATTTGAGTCTGCAAATGGAAGGCTAGTTAATCTTGCCATGGGTACTAAAGGGGTTGCAACTCAAATATGTAGAAAGTACCTCATGACTCACAATGCTACAAAACTGTTTGGCCATGGTTACTAGGTAAGCCCCCAAATTTTAAAATTCTGCTCCAAAGTGATTGGCTATGAATACCTTGAGAACTCAAGTAAGGGTCAAAACGATGAAAACTTGTTGAGTAAGGGTATTTATATGTCTCTGAATGATTTTCAAAAGAAACCATTCACTGATAAAAATTTAGACGTGCCAGATCTGGTTCACGTGTTTAGGCGTATAACTATTAAAAAGATGTTGTACCACAGTCGACTGATAACTAGACAAAAAGGAAAGTGTGACAGTTGTGTTCGATTAATGTCAGGGGAGTTTGCCCATATAGACTTAATTGTTAACCTCAATCAAAATGACCCTTATTTGCTAGTAACAAAGTTAAACATGTCACTAACTGCGTCTCCTATGATGGTCCCACATATCAAGCAATGCAGTCTTGACAGCTTTGGTGAATTAGCCGTTATTTCTGGATCAGATATATCAAGAAAATGTATGTTCTATACATGCAATGATAAAAATTATGTTGCTGAAATAACTAACTTTTATGAAAAAGATTAAGCTAAGCGCAATTGTGTGATACTGGAATCATTTTAACATATCCTGTAATAGTATTCCTCCACCTGTGATGATCTGAATAATTAAATACAAGAGAATTGATTCTTTATATCATGTCATATGTCATAATTATTTATAACTAGTATCTAACTGTACTGCGCAAACCCTGTAATATTGTAGTATTGGGCGCTTTGGCTGTGCCGAGCCAAGTCTGAATGATTACAAGTCAAAGTCAAGTGGAAGTGTGGCGAAGAGCCCTGGGCTCCAGCCGGCTTTTATTCAAGATCCCGCGCCTTGCGGCGCACAATAACGTGTTGATCGTAAAACAATAATAGGCGTTAGTGTCAGGTTTGGGTTTGAAGGTGGCGCCACCAAGGGTAAGAGTCGAGTAGGCCGTGACCAAACAACTGCAGTCGTCTGCTATGTTATGATTGGTTTGACAGCTTAGGTTATGGTTTTCTATGAGAGGTTTAATGAAACCTCATAATACTACATTACTCCCTCTTTGAACAACCTCCCTTTTTACGCGCACCCCTTTGCCATGACACTTTACAATTTTTCTAAAGCTAATAAAACTGTTGACAACCTGAAACTTCCACCTTGTACCGAACCTACGGGTTATTCAACCCTACTAGTCCATACTCAGTGTGCAAACAAAAAGAAAGTTTGACTTCAGCTCCTCTCTGACCAAGGGGAAATAGGCTTGAACTTCGGTGTACGTTTCCTTGAACTTCGTCGAACTTCGAGAACTTCGGTGAACTTCGCGGAACTTCGACCGAAGT